TCACTGCATGTTTGTTCCATGCTATTTGACAAATAGAAGAACTACAGCACAGCATCTGAAATAAATCAATTTGATACTTTCACTTCCTGCCTCTCCAGCACCCAGCCCTGAAGTCCCTACAGTACCAGCAGGACTGCAGGACTGAGACCTAAATATTATAAGGAATATGAATTGCTGAAAGTGGCTAGTGAAAGTATTTGCTTTTTGGGAATAATTATGAGCTAATATTGTCAGATGTGTGTTAGCTTTAGAAGATAACCATATTAAATGGCTACAATACGAGATTCTGTATCTTCAGTATCGGAAGGTGCAGTTTTCATTAATGCAAAGCTGGCAGTCGCACTTAATCCTCCCTCTTGTACACATGGCTTTGCCTCTCCTGTCTGCAAAGGAATTACCCTTCAACTGAAAGTCTCTGGCTATAAAAGCTTCTTTTTGACAGATCTGATGTGGACATTTAAATGATTCATTTGCAGCCTGTTCCCAACTCTTACCTCCGATATGGAAATTGGGACAGGCTCATTTTCAACCAGCTCCTGGGCTATGAAGGATAAACTGTCCTTTTAAAAATACTACTGTACCTTTTATGTATGCAGATTGCCCGTCTGAATTTTAAATGCAATCACTTTGCTTCCAGTACACTCTAAAAATCAGGAGTCACAGCCTGCATGAATCAGTCCTGGGCACCCAGGACCTGCTATTTACATAATTTTAAGCCTGCATGCTGCAATTATATGAAAAGTCCACTTCTTCCCTCTGTGCAATACATATGCAATTTAAGATCCATTTATCAAACTGAAAATTGCCGTTGTATTTAATCTTCCCAAGAGAGCAAAATCAAATTATTGTGTGTAAAGAATGATAATCTGCTGAATTCAAGGGAATATTCAAAAGTTATCCCCCCGTGGCTGCCACCGAACAGGGCAGAGAGGTCTAATAAGGGAGCCAGGGGTAAGAAGGCATGATGTGAGCATACATAATGAGAAGATGAAAACTCTCTTAATCTTTTCAGATTGAATGAAATCTAATTACATGCTGTATTGATTGTTGTGTATTACTGGAAAGAGACAGTGAAAAGGGAAAAAGGCAATTACAGTAAAATTGCAGTCTGACCCTTCAATTGCTTTTGGCATGAAAGGTTATGCAGTAGTTGGAGATATTAAACATTTTTCACTCTCTATAGTAAATTATTAGCAACAGAATCAGATGCAAAACTGATTAGGGAAAAATCTAGTCAATTAAATCTTGCTTCAAATTTAAAGTGAGACAGAGAGAGAGTAAAGAACACAACGATCAGATGTTATCATTAAAACCTTTCATAAATTGCTGCTGCTCTTCCTGCCATTATATCAAGTTTACTTCTAGCCCAACAATGTTCACTAAACGAAACATAGTGACAAATGTAAGGAAACATGCAGATTGCTGAATTAGATGAAGGGGTGGGCAAAATATGGCAGAGGCAACATCCAGCCTGCCAAGGGATTGTATCCGGCCTACGGCAGGACCCTTGGCCCCACCCAGCTGAGGCTCATGGGGCAGCCTCAGCTGTGGCATGTGCAGCCAGTCTTGCCACCCCGCTAATGTGCAGCAGGCTGCAGTAGTACAAAAGTTCAACTCATCAATCCACTCCCCACATGCCACTGCCTGTGGAACCAGTGCCCATCACAGAAACATGCAGGAAGCAGATCACAGCTCTGTCCCAGGCCTGGCCCCGTGCTCTCAGTGCCCTGTGATCTCAGACCCAGCCCTGGCCCGGCCCCAGCAGCCTGGCCCCAACACCAGCCCCTCATGCCTGTCCTGCTCCCAAACACACCTCCCTGTCTGGCCGCAGCTTCATCCCATCTGCCCAGCCGAGCACAACCTGCCCGCAAGAGTCCCAGGCTGATCTCCATGAAGGACTTGCCCACCCATCCATCCATCCACCAACCCCAGAGGTGGGTGCAGGATGGATGAGCCTAAGTTGGATAGGATCAATTGCCTTCCCCCTCCCACCAGTCTGGGCCAGGTCAGCACCACCCACCAGCCACACCAGGTTGGGTCACTACACCACCCTCCCAGCCTGCAACAACTCCCCAAAACTCCCCAAGTGACCCTCCAACCCAAAATAATTGCCCATCCCTGTTATAGAGTCATGCCTGGCACTTATTCATGCCATTCTAGAAATTCTTATTTCACAAAATATAATTCTAAGGACTAGACATAATACAGCGGCTATCCAAAATGCACTCCTGTCCTCTCCAGGCATTTTTTGTGCATGTGTTGCATAGACAATGCATTTTCTAAGTTACAATTAGGATTAGAAGTTAACATTGGTTCAAGGGAACTGTTTGGGGCGGGTACATGATATACACTAAACTCCCCCTTTGTTTACTTCTGCTGGTGAGAGCAGGCTCCGGGGAGGAAGGGAAGATGCCTTTTCCATCATGGAAACAATTAAGGGAAACAGAAAGATACCTTTTTGATCAACACGTTTTGAACTCTCTGCACAGAAGCTTCTTTCTCTTTGACTAAAGCCTCAGGCAGATCCATGGAGAATGGAAATGAGGCCTGCTTTGTTCAGGGCTTGGCATAATCAGACTCCTCTATGGAATTGTGGGTATTCATTACCAAATGCTAAGTACTTAAAAGGTGGCTCTTAATTTACTGAGTCTGAAGTGGGAATAAGGAGAAACTAATGAGCTGGCCAGACCCAGCTTTGTATCATCACTACTACTTCAGGACTCCTGCTGAGGTTTCTTGGAGCTTTGAGTGTGCAGGAAACACAGGATCCAATCCTTTATGGTCTCCCCCTGAAGTCAACTTTCTCTATGACCCGTTGGTCCAAAAAAATAAGATTAAGAATAAAAGAATCTTCACTTAAATCTTTAAAGAAAGCCTGAGAACTCTCTCAACTTAGAGTAAGAACATTGCGCAGTACCACAATCGTCACAAAAGAGAGTTTCATAAACTGAACCCCTTGGAATTAGTGTCAGAGCAAAACGTTTCCATTAATGAATGAGTTGAGATGTTAAAAGAAGCTCATAAGCCAAACACCAATGGGTTGATCCTGACTGCACTTATAGCAATACAACTTCCTTTAGTTCAATGGAACTTCTTCAGATATTTCATCTGTTTAACTGATGCACGCAGCGTTTGTGCTGCCCAGTGGGACTATTCCATAAGAAAGAAACTCTCTGCATATTGGAGGCAAACTCATTAGCACCTTCTGTGTTGGTGCTCCATTCTTTGTTAAAAGGTCTACTGAAGGTAAAGCAACAGTATCATCTAAACAGTTCAACTGACAACATTTGAATGAAAAAATAACCTCAAACTTTTACTTTTTTTCCCCCAAAGAGTAGTATAAAATCTTAAATAAACAGCAACATCACTGTGAATTATTGTGTCCAGTCAATTAAAGAACCAAACAGATAAAGTGTACCAAGAGCTTCCTGCTTACTGTGAGTGCAATGTACAGTGGTGTCCACATGTCCCTTCATTACCTGTATATGAAGAGCTCCCATTGCTTTCCTGTTTCTATAATTCCATTGAGTGTCATACTTCACATGGCCAGCTCAATATCAACGTGCTAAGGCTCTGTGCTAGGGACAGGATTTAGCCCACAGAGCTGCATGCAGCTGTAGCAGGCAATGGCTTGCACTCATGCACTGCAGTCCAAGTGCCCTATGGCTGCAGTGTAGTTAGGGGACTGGTTTTAACTCAAAGATTGTTTGCTCTTGAAACCTGTTTTGGATGTCAGTAAAGAATACGAACTGGGGATTCGTTTCCTTTATGAGAGAAACGTGTGTATGTTTGTGCGTCTGTATCTGTGGGGGAGGAGGAAATGTGTGCTGAGGGGGTGTCTGTGCCATGTTAGTGCTCATTGGCATAGATTGACTATTACTGTCACTGAAACATTTGCATTTAAACAGTTCATTCAGAAAAAAGCAGGAGAAAATACATACTTACCTTGATCTTTTCATTTTCCTGCATTTTGAGGCTGCAGTAGCCTCTGGTTGAATCAGTGTTACGATTAAGAAGGTTCTCATAACTGAACCAGAAGCCCACTTGGTTTAATTAAAAATATTTACTTAGGAAGTTTTATATGGTACTAAAAAAGTTCAGACATATATGCTGTATTATAGCACAACTGCAAAGTTATTCCTGCTACCTCTCCACCTCTGAAGCACCCATGCATTTAATTACATACTTAATCCCCTAGTATTTTACATTTGGCAATTCATGCATAGCTCCACATTTAAATGCACTTGTCATTGAGGCACCCATTTCTGTATGAAAGACTGGTAGTCATATAATAACTTTTATGGTTTAGCATGTTCTATCCACCATGGAATATGAACTCGTTTATACTAATGATAGCTAATGAGGTTTTTCAGGGCTGGTGAATAAGAATGGAAGGCAATAAAAAAAGTGGTGGATGCTTGGTTTCACACCTCTCCCCGATCGTATCAAATTTTAGTGCTGGGGTTATGAAAGCACCACATGGATGCTATAAACAACCAGAGCATTTTTTAAAAAACAAAAATATTTAAAGACATATACATGGGAAGGCCAAGACAAAAGTGGTTTTGAAAGTAAATGCTTTACCCTAAATGTATGACTTCAGGCTGGATCATGATGATAAATCTGATGTGCTCTCCCTTTCTCTCTCACACAGACACAAAGCATGTTCCTATTCACCAATATATTCCTACCAGATTCAGACAAACTTTGGGACAAACTGTTGACCTGAGACACTCAAGAGACTTCACACCGCACTCTTCAGCACTCCTCAATGCTCACCCTGCACTCCTCAGCCTTTACCCCCACCCCCTTCCATTCATTTCTGTAGCCCTAGTAGCACCCTTCACCTTCCCAGGCATGAATCTCCGGCTACTCTTCAGGGCAACCCTACCACCCCCTGCCTCCACCCTGGATCCCCTTTCCTGGGCGCCCAGCCTGTCCCCACTGCCCGTGCACTCCCCTGGGAGAACCAGGGCTCGGGCCCCTGCGCCCCATCTCACCATTGAGCTGGTTGTAGACCACTTCCTCCAGGTGGTCGAGGCGCTGCAGGATGGCCTCCCTGTCCGCCAGGCTGCCTGCCTTGGCCCCCCGGCTCCTGGCGCGGCGCTCGGAGCTGCGCACGATCTGCACCAGCTCCTGCGAGCGGTCCTGGAGGCGGCAGTAGACGGAGAAGAGGATGATGCCCACGAAGACCAAGATGTTCACGGTCAACAAAGTTTTGATTTTCCTGGCCACCGCCATGAAGTCGCGCCGCTGGGAGCGTCAGGGCATGGTCGCCGCAGCCGCTGGGCAAGCGGGCGGCGACAGAAGGAGAGGTGGAGGGAGGAAGGAGCTGTCCCTTCAGCACCCCTCGCTCCGGGGGAGGGGAGCTGTCCCTTCAGCACAGCTGGGCGGAGGAGCTGTCCCTTCAGCACCCCTCGCTCCGGGGGCGGGGAGCTGTCCCTTCAGCACCCCTCGCTCCAGGGGGGGGGCGGGGAGCTGTCCCTTCAGCACCCCTCGCTCCGGGGG